GTCTGGCGGTCAGCCTCGTCAAGCCGCCGGGAGTGGGCCAGTCCACAACCCTTCTCATCACTGGTGAGCTACGTGTCGTCGGGTGCAGAGTGCCGTGCTGTGTATGTTGTTACAGGGTGGTTAACTTCGCCAGCGGCCCCCTTTCCCGGGGCAGTCCCTGCTCTCCCCTGCTAGAGGGGCACCCTAATCCGTCACCCCATCCGACTTCAGAATGTATTCGTTGGGTTCGGCAACTCACCACCAGCATCCAACCAAATCTAGCGGATCAACGGCGCATCAACTTAGTTCCTGGTCAGCTCGCAAGTTGATATTATCACGTCCTACACCGTCCATAAGATGGGGGGCCACCTCCCATTTCATCACTCCTCAAACACCCGAGGAGCCGGCAGGCGGATTTGAACCCGGGTCGACTGGGTCGACTGGGAGCAGAAGTCAGGCCTTAACCTCTGCCAGCCGCCTGCCTGTGTATGTATTGCGCTATGGGGTTTACACTATGGACCCCTATGCTTTACGGTATGCTTAACGCTTCGTTTTACACTACGTTTTTATGTTGTGCTCTATGGGTATCATCTTTACGCTTTGCTTTATGTTTTTTGGCTCAGGCTGTGCTTTGTTCTAGCGTTATGCGTTATGCTGTGTGTAACACTAAGGTATGCATGCTTTATGCTATGTTTTATGCTGTGCGCTATGCTTGATGCTATGCTTTCCACTACGCGTTTTGCTGGGCGTTGCGCTGCGCGTCATGCTGTGTTTTATGCTCCGCTTCATGCTGTGTGTTAACTATTTCGCATTGCATGCTTTGCATTGTATGTGTTATGCTGCGTTAATGCTACACGTGATAGGCGCCCGGGTGCACCGGGTGTTTTCACGTCCAGCCGTGTATACCGGTCGTGCATGTCATGCAGTATCCATCCAGACAGGACCGGCACCCACATGTCGGTCACTGCTGCTGCTGCTGCTGCTGCTAGGCCGCTAAACCTCCTTTTCCTATCCCTATAAGTGAGAACCGCTCTCCGTCTGTTACTGCTCCGTTCGGTTCCTCTCTCAACCCCTGCCCTCAACGACCGGCCCAACCCCCCAACCCCCTCCGGCGCGCACCCACCACGGCCTGGTTTTCCCTCGTACCTGGATGTTCTGTCGTGCACGGACAGATATCGAGTCCAGGTACACATGCTGGGTTTCATAAGGGCAGGCTGCTAGGTGCACGGGGCCATCCAATGCTGTCTGTCTGCCTGTCTGCCTGTCTGCCTGTCTGTGCCTGTCTGTGCCTGTCTGTGCCTGTCTGTGCCTGTCTGTGCCTGTCTGTGCCTGTCTGTGCCTGTCTGTGCCTGTCTGTGCCTGTCTGTGCCTGTCTGTGCCTGTCTGTGCCTGTCTGTGCCTGTCTGTGCCTGTCTGTGCCTGTCTGTGCCTGTCTGTGCCTGTCTGTGCCTGTCTGTGCCTGTCTGTGCCTGTCTGTGCCTGTCTGTGCCTGTCTGTGCCTGTCTGTGCCTGTCTGTGCCTGTCTGTGCCTGTCTGTGCCTGTCTGTGCCTGTCTGTGCCTGTCTGTGCCTGTCTGTGCCTG